GCCTGAGCTTCCCCGAGCCCACCTAGGCTTCCAGCACCCCATGCACCGTTCCTGCCGCCTTCTCTGGCTGCCGGGCATGTACACATGTGTGATTTTTTTTTTATCCACAATGGGACAATTTGTCCCAATCAAACTGGAATATATCAGAGGTGGTCTAAGTTACTATGCACAAATAAAGTTTTATGCAAAAAAAATCGTGCATGTGTACATGGTGACACATGGTGTCACTTTTTGTCTTTATAGAAACATAGAAAATGAGGGCTGGAAGGGACCTCAGGAGGTCACATCTAGTTCAACCCCCTGCTTAAAGCAGGACCAGCCCCAACTACATCATCCCAGCCAAGGTTTGTCTTAAAAACTGCCAAGGACAGAGATTTCACAACCTCTCTGGGTAGCCTGTTGAAGTGTTTTATTACCCTAGTAGTGATAAAATTCTTCCTACTATTTAACCTAAAACTCCCTTGCTGCAACTTGAGACTGTTGCTCCTTGTTCTGTCATCTGATAACAGTCCAGCTCCATCCTCTTTTGAACCCCCTTTCAGGTAGTTGAAGGCTGCTATTAAATCCCCCTCAGTCTTCTCTTCTGGGCTAGGGACAGACATTACACACAAACCGGTTTAAGTGATCAGAAACCAGGTGTACACGGCTCCACCATCACATGTACAAGCACCCTTAGGCACCAAAACATTGTTTTTCTAGAGGCACAGACAGAAGCGACAATTTTCACCTGATCTGGCCCCTAAAAGCACTCTATAGCCATGACCTAACACAAGTGCCTGGCTGCAGAGCACTTTAAAAGGGCCTGACTCCGCAACAATCAGAGCCCTCATTACATGGGCTGCAAAGTAGAGCACCTTCATTAACTTGTGTCTGCGCGCGCCAGAAGCAAGGCTGGGTTGTCTCAGCCCAGCCCTGCTCCCAGCACTGCTTTCAGAATAGGAGTGGGGGAAGGGAGCAGAGGGAGCTCATTTTGGGGTTTGCCCAGTTGATGCTGGAGGGTGGAGCAGGTGGATTGGAG